CATTAGAATTCCAATTATCTGGCCAAGTACCAGGTAATCCAATATGCTGGATAATAATTGAACTATATCTATGAAATGACGTAAACGAAAAATATAACTTAGAAAATTATGATTAATATAGCAATGCAATTTATTCAAAAAAAGAGAGAATACATAGATGTGGAGCACATAAAACATACAGAGGATGCCCCTTCGCCTTGACCTTGGCTATCATATCACAATAATGAAAATATGTATTTCCAATTAAGATAACTTCGGTAATTTCGAAATCTTGAGAAAAATTTTTGCTTATCATTATGTTTGCTCCATCGAACCAAATATTTTTTCCCTTTAACATTTTTTCTCATCAGAAAAAATAGGCAAGATATTTAAAATGCTCAAGTTAGATAGGACACCCTGTATATAACTAATATTGATTTAATTTTCCTTTCCTAGGAAATAAACACGTATTTCCATCATTTAATAATTACGTACAGTATCAAATGTGCCGATTAATCGGGCGTTTCGGATAATTAGTTACCGAATAATTAGAAGTTTCAAATATTCCAAATATTAAACAGAATTGAATGCTATCCTAGTTCTAAATAAACTACGGTTTGTCAATAGCCTTTTCCATTTTATTGTACAGAACCCTATAGCTGTAACCTACATACGGTCCTATATGCTGCATCATCAATCGATGCCACCATTCTCTCGACGGTGAAAAACCCGTATAAGTTTGCAGATCGCTGACATTTACGATCGCAGTATATCTATGCAACGACTATAACCAAAATTTGTTACTAAAAAAGTATAGCTGTGACAGCTTTTTGCTGCAACAGCACTTGAAGATGTTACAGCCACGCCATATCGCTATCTTTGCTTTCTTCAGGGATGAGCCAGGTCCCTTAGACATTTTACAGTTTCCGAATTTTGGAAACATAAAATTCTTTAATCTTTAGAATCTGGAATGTTGAAATCCCAAGTTAAGGAAGTCTGTAATCTTGAAATCCTGAAATTTCGGAATAATCTAAAATTTTGGAATTCTTCAATTTTGAAATCCTAAAATTGTAATATCTTGAAATTTTGAAATTTTAGAATTTTAGTCTCAGAATTTTGGAATTTTTAAATGTCAGAAATCTGAAATTTTGAAATTTTAGAATCTTAAAATTAAAAAAAAAATAGTGGTCCACATTTTTGAGAAAGAGTTAGACCACCTTGGCCTCTACCTAGTTACATCAATCCAGTATTGTTATCAGTCGGTCTCAAAATAATCTATATAAGATTAATTAAAAATAATTCTCCTATTATAATCAAACTTCAGCTGTTGTTATCAATTATGATAATTGTAATTGTAAATAAACGATAAGAATTCTTAGGAAAATGGTACTAAACAAACTTTTTCTTCAAAATTTACTTTTAACTGAAGCATATTTTTTACCTTTTACATGAGTATTTACATGACAAAACATATTTTTCTGAAACGTACTTAATATTTCATTTAATTGTTATAAGCCTTTTTAATTTACTTATTTATTTGTCTGCATTTTTTCCTTTCCTTTAAAGAATTTTTATTTTCTCAGAAAGGTCCATTACCCGAATATTACGTTCTTGATTCATGCGACTTCTGACATATGAGCACCCTTTAAATCATTTCTCACCCCCATTTTCATTCCTTTAAAAAATCAAAATCAAAATTATGTCTTATATGTGTTAAATATTATAGATTTTAACAAAGAGTATTTTCACCGAATTTCATATTCCCAGATCTAGCATTTCTCAAAAAAGTATAAATCTTTAACCTTCTTCTTCCCCTGAAGAGTAGAATTTCAAAAAATTTCTTCTTAATGGGTGCTTACATCTTAAGGAAATACCATTCCCAAAATTTCAACTTTTTGAGTCCAGGGGTTTGAGTTGAACGTTGATTATTTATCTCGGATCAGTGAGTCAGTTAGGATTTTATATTTAAGAAATTTACAGAAACATTCATTTTTTTCAATTTTAGTGCATTTTATTGGATACAATTACATTTTTGGTTGGCAGTTTATTTGTTACAAAATTTTGAATCTTTTTTCACTCGAATTTCAAATCGAATTTAGTCACTTTGACCTCCCGTATCTCCCCCTATGTAAAACTACTCATATGCTCAACTTGAATTTTTTCTGAGATTAATATACCATCATGTAGAATTGATTGGCACATAGTTTGATTTGAAATTCGAGTGGGAAAAAATGGACGAAATTTGGGGTGACACTTCTGAGGTTGATAATGAAAGTTTTTTATTTTAATGTTATTAGCCGATTGTGCTTATAAAAAAATTGAAAATCTCTCAAGTGTTCATAATAAGCGGATTATATTAAATATAATTGCAGTACGTATCGGATGTCTATCACTTATTTTGCATAATACCCAGAAAAAGAGAAAAAAATTAATATGATTATTGTAAGGAGATGTCAGGTTCAAATAAGTCATACTTTTACCCACAATATTTTTTATGAAAGCGGGAGCAAAAGGAAGGAAGTAAAAAAAATAAACTTAAATTCTGTATGTAACATTACAATATAAAATATTGCCCTGAGCGATTACTCAGTTGCTCGTACCCGCTCTATACGTTGAAAAGACCTCTGAAAGATAACACTTTCAACGGCTGCATCACACATCTGGTGGATGAGTTGACATAATAACCGGGAAGAGTCGCAGTATTGATTTCCCGTCGCGAACCGTTTCACTAAAATACACTCTTTAGTAAACACCGATGTGGATATTCCTGTAAAACCTACTGAGGAATACCGAGGAACAAATTCAATCAAGGTGAAAATAAGTTTTTTATTTTCAGATAAAGATAAAAACAATTGCAATTAAATTTACGTTTAACTACAATTTTTACTAATTTTTCTTTATAATTATTTTATCAAAATGCATCATGAACAGAAACTTTTGGAGCACTATAAGCTTCTGGAAAATATCAGGCACTAATGATTATTTAATAACAGAAGACTTTAGCCACTGTTGATGTCATCTGAAAATATGCAACTCAAAATCATATTCGAAAGATAGGATTGAATCCTGTAAGGGTAAAACCCCTGTTTAGGGGACCCTGTTCCAATGACCTTGACTTTGACACATATTATACGTTACACCTTCCTGAGTAAATTTTCCTTATAACTTAACCGTCGCGTCGGTCATTGTTTATTAAAAAATTATTAACAATGAAAGATTGAAAAACGTACCATTAGTTTTCTAAAAATTTCACAAATAGGGTTCGCCCCTTCCCCTCACCCTCGCCTCTAAAAACCTAATCTAACCTAACTTAACTTAACTTGATATCTATTGTGTAATCAATCATGAAAAACAAAAAAGGAGATGGGATTAGGTTTGGTTAGCTCACTACCCGGCCTCGTAGCCCCTTTTTTATTTTTCATGATCATAATTACAAAATAGATATCAAGTTAAGGTAGGTTAGGTCAAGTTAATTTTTTTAAGAGATGGAGGTGCGGAGCCTATTTGTCGGTTTCAATACTACTTTAAAAATGTCATTTTTAAACAATTATTTTTCATTTCTTTGCCGTTTAAATGTTGAAATAAAAACAATAAATACACCATAGGTACACATTTATCCCTATTATTATTACAGTACATTAAATATATCCCCGCGGATATCTAATGTACTTTTTTATTGTAAAATTAATTTAAATTGCGTTTTTCTTGAAACTTGCAAATAAACTTGCATTTAGCAGCTGTATTATACGTAGATTTCTATCGTATTAAAAATAATTAATTTTAAATAATTAACTCGAATGCGTATTTATTCTTCTGTAAATTTTTTTTTTAAATACTAATGTATTTTCGAACCTTTAATTTTATAAGTTCATCTTATAAATATTTGATGGGATTTAAGCGAAACAATTATGAAAGTGGTTGCAGGACCTTCATGCAATGATATAATCAAAATTTTTGCATGATATGTACTTGTTTTGGGCTTCGAATCGCTTTTCTTTTTATTTTAAAATACTTTTCACGAATCTCCATGTTTTACTAAAATATTTTTCAGAATGTTAAGGTTTTTAGATTAATTGTAAATATTTTTAATTTAGTGCTTTTGTCGCTTTTTCTATACTTTTACTTTTTCATCACTTGGCTTTAGCTCGCGGTGACGAAGATAATATTACCTATAACTCAAATTTCTTTGACATATGAAGCGTCTAGGGGATGAAACGATCATAGTCATAAGAAAAGTTATTAACCTGCAATATAATAAGTGGAAAAAACGGGTCTAATCCAGAAAAGTGAAGGGTCGATTGATCCAAGTTCAGAGAAGAACGATCAATGTCATAATTCTTCAACTGAAAAATGATCAAAGTCTAATTAATTGATTAGATCGCTTGGCAGCAGTAATATAATAAAAGAAAATAAGAATAAAAATATAAAAGAATTAAAAAGAAATAAAGAAAAAAAATAGAAAAATGAAAAAATTGATAAAGAAAAAAAAATAAGAGAATTGAAAAGAAAAAAGAGAATGAAAGAATTTTGTATTCTAAAGAAAATTGATCAGAGTACATATTCTTTTTTTTATTAAAATAACATTAGATCAATGTCCAAACTATAAAAACAAATGTTATTCTCATCAAACTTATAAACAGATTTAGGGATCCATTATATAAGAGAATGAATATTAAATTTTGAATCCTGCATAGTTGAAGGGGAGTTCACAAAACCTTTTACGATTATGATTATTTTTTCCTTGGATTCTTCATAATTTTACATATTGACAATGAAATCTTTTGCTACTGCATATTTACTGCGTTCATACATAACTTTCTTTTAGCTATTAGCACTCATTGCAATCCTTCGTCTTCAATACTTTAACCTCTTCAAGGACACTGACACATGTATGTATATTCGAAAGCAGGTATAGTTGAAGAATTAAAAAATAAGTGAAGTCAATTGTTTTAACTCGAGTAATAAAAAGAAAGCCGTTTAGGTTTTTGTAATTAAAATTATGTTAAGTGAAGAAAAAATTAGAATCTTTTGGACGAACTGTACACTACAGAATTTCTCATCGATAAAAACAAAACACTTGTCAAAATTAAATTATTTTTGTTTCATTTAAAAAAATCCCTCATCCCTGAAAAGGTTAAATCCGTCATATAAATGGGGTTACATCAAAATCACCTACACGTTTCATTAACACTGTTTTCGGCATTAAAAATTCAACATCAGAATTAACCGACAACAGCTTTGACTGGCAGTAGTTTTGACCAACAACAGGTTTGACCGACCGCGGTTCTGACCAAAAGCAGCTTTAACCGACGTATTCTCTGAATTGTGTGTATCAATATTGCATGACGCAAGTAAATATTTAAACGCAATCCTTCCGACAATATGTGACATATCTGTAGTATATTACATAGGTGTACTGAATAATTCAGAGGAAGTACTCAGGATACAAATACATCTTTAATAAAATTAATGGAAATGATATCTTTCAATGAAACAGTGCAATAACTGTCAACAAAAATTGTTAGTTTATTTAAACTAAAATAAAAAAAAAATACTTAGAATTCTTTGCGATCGGCGGACGGTCTTGTCCAATTTTTTCTACTGACTTGCGGCTATAATTTTCTAAAAATAAGTAAGACGTGTGCATTAAGTAGAAAAAAATCGGACAAGCTCGTCCGCCGAACGCAAAGGCATCCGATCGACGCACATAGAACACTCATTTTGGTGTGAAAAGTTAAGAAAATATAGTAGAAAATGTGCGCATGCGCATAAATTTTTGTTGTTTAAAATCTTACATTTCTAACATTTTTGAGGAACTATGCTCCCCAAACCCGTGCTTTTTTAATCTTAATTAAAAATAATACCCATTAAATGATCTATATGTATATACTTACTTGTAATTTTATATAACAAACAATAATAATAACAATGAATAACAAAAACGAACAACGAAAATGTAGACTCTGTCCTCGATGAGGGCCTCCAGTTAATTAGGAAAAACCAGACGTGGAAAACTGTTCTTGCGAGCACGCAAGGATTTCCACTAACGATAAGTGGCCGACCAGGCTTCTCAATGGTCACAGACGTGCCAGTACAGACTTATTACCGTAGCCGTAACCGCTACATAATTTTTGAAAATTGCACAACATTTCTACACTTGCGCAACGTGTGACCACTCCCAACGTTCTCTATGGACGATGGGAAACATTTTAAGTTAGGTAGCTCATCAATTTGACGATGGATTTGACGGTAGGTGGTCCTCATGGCCACTGTGCCGTCCCTGGGTCATCTTCTGAACTTAATGCAAAGCCTGTATAAATAACTACCAATCGATGTTATTGTCAATTAAATCAATTTTGATGTTGCTGGATTCTTATCGGTAAAAGATATATCACCACTTTTGCCTACCTTTCATCTTTTCATTTATGGCTATATGTATATTTGTTGAAAAATGAAATTGTCATAAACTATAGCCGTTAATTAGTAGAAACGTTATAATTAACTTTTAAATAACTTTTCAGAAGAAACGTTAATAATTAATCTTGTTAAGTACCGTGAACACTTTATTTATAACATAAGAAACTCAACTTTTTTCTCCTCTTCAATCATTCTGTCTTTTTTACTTTAGGGTTCATAGCTTCGATGTATGTAGGTCAATTGATACGAGAATGTCTTCTAAAGGTGTTCTCGAGACTACTGTCACACCAATGGATAAGATTCCGCACGGAAAAGAGAGCAAGTTCGCTGTGTGCGTAGTTACCTAAGAGGAATAAAAGAGAATGTCCGTTGTCGCATCTTTAAATTTCAGTAGACACTATTAACCCCCATTCGGATAATTTATCTACGTAACGTGAACGGACAGTCGGAGTCCGTTGGAACGTGTAAGTACATAAGTTAAAGCAAAATAATGGTTAGCGATGTGCGAGAACTTGAAAATATCGAGTCAGCTTCTCAAAACTAGATCGAAGATAGAAGCCTTTTTTAGAAATGAAGAAAAATAATGAAAATAAAATTAACCATACCCTGTCGACCTAATCCTTTTTTTAATCAAATTGTACGAAATGGCTGATTGTGTGGAGTGTATAAAATTTTACTAAAATCGCTACCATGAAGTCAGGATAAATAATAGGTGGAAAAAATGTCAGTTGAATCTCAGAATTTTAGAATTTTGTAATTTTAAAATACAGGAACTCTAAAAATGTACAGTACTGGAATTCTTATGTGTAGTTAAAAATTTTGTAACTTAACAATTTTTAAATTATCAAGATTCGTAATATTGTAATTTAGAAACATAGGAAATCTGCAATTTTGAAATTTTTTAATACTAAAGTTTTAAAATTCAAGAATTTTAGTTTTTAATTTTGAGATATAGAAAATCTGAAAATTTGAAATAGTGCAATTCTGATATTTTTTATTTCTTTTAATTTTAGAATCTCATATTTGTGTAACATAATAATTTTAAAATTAAAAAGATTTGTAACATAGGAAATCTTCAATTTTTGAATTCCAAGGTTTTAAGATTTAAGAATTTTGAAATCTCGAGCCAAAGATCCACATTTTGTAGAGGGCCATTTTTATATCTGTCATATTTTTCAAGATATTTAACTGCTGTAATCGTAAGATAAACCGGACACACTATATAATTCAGTAAATATGAGAAGAACACGATCATCCCGTCCTACCGTTCTATTTCATCCTCTTATTATCTCCTCCATTCACCTCATCTTTCTCCCGTTTATTGAGAGATAACGAGCTGTAACGAGCTCGACGAGGAATCAAATGGAATCGAGTCCGCACATTCAATTCGTGGACGTTCTTCTAGTGGAAGGATCGTCTTCCTCTCTTTTTTCCCTTCTTCTGTACCGCTTCTTCTCGACTCTCCTCATTAGCGCAACGTTTCCCTCCTCCATCTTTCATTTACTGTTATCCTGAAATTATGGAAGGTTAAAAAAATGTATATAATTTTCAACAATCTTATACATCACATTTTCAAGTACATAAGTATTATATACTTTTAAAAACAATTGTTTAACTACACACTAACAATCCTATCATTTTAGTAGTTATCAATTCGGTTATAAAATTTTCATAAATCTCTTTGAATATTAAACTGTAATCAAAATTGATGTAATTTTGTTCGGGATACTCTAAGGGGGGAACTCCACAATTGTTACGCTCGCTAATTAACCCTTTGACTACGGCGGACTTTTAGACGTACCAGTCGCACCTAATTCAATCGCACCCTACACCGAGAACGGCGAAATTTTTCGTTAGGCGTGCATTTTTGAGAAAGTAGATTGAAATAATCAAAACACTGAATTCCACTACATTAAACTAATATAAGAGTTGAAACTAGTTTAAGCGCCTGCAGTGTCACAAGCGTAATACTAATAAGCGCCTTTAGGCGCCAACAGTAGTCGAAGGGTTAATGAAACTTTGTCACCTTATAAAGCTTGTCGAGCTAAACACGCCTATACCCCTATGATTCAAATACGTAGCCAGATTCTTCTTTTTTATAATTTATTGCTTTTTTAATATTTATTACTGTTGAAAATCAGTCAATAGCGGGCGAACTCCAGGTTTTAAATATAAAACCGTTACCGTCGCGATCGCGACGCCAACTGGTACTAGACGAAGAAGTTCGATCCATTACGGATGATCGCTTACGATTATTTCGAACAGATATTGTTATAATATATTTATATAGTTTATTAAACAATAAAGTGCTGTGTTTAGTAAAATGCAAAGGCATTAGTGGGTGGCTTCATTTAAATTCCCAACAATTACAGCTACATTAGCGATTATATCTATTCATACTTTATTAATTACGCTGCATTTCTTATAAAATTTAAATTATGTTTTCTGTAATTTTAGATTATTTAAGCATGTTCCATATATTTGTATTACAATACTTATTTATAATAACTATTACTGTATATACCATAATTAAATAAAATCAAAACCGAAATTGTAAAAAATAGTTAATAGTAATAAATGAAATGTATAAAATAAATACGTGTAATTTTACTATGCCATAATGATGTTAACATTCGTACGGGATAATAAACATAATTTAAATTTTATAGCAAATATAAAGTAATTAATCAATAATTAACAAATGTAATGACTAGCATAGCTTGTAACGTGG